CCCAGAGGGGAGGGAAAAACAGGAGGGAAGTGGGCATCAAGTTACTTACTCCCAGGCCCCTTTCCAGCAGGTTGCTGTGGCAACAAGGTCTCAGTTTATGTCCAGTGGAACTGAGTTCTCCCTCTGGGTTCAGGCTTAGGGTGGATAATGGTGCCCCACTGTTAGTCTGTGGGGTCTGCGCCATCCCTGAGAGTTTCCCTACATCCTTCCCACACCCTTCTAAATAGTCCGTTTGTTAAACTTTGCACAACTGACTTAATTTGAATATGCTGCTTTTTTCTAGCTGGGACCTTGATGGACATAATCACTCACTATCTGTGTAACATTGGGCAAATTCTATATCCTCTCTTGGACTCAGTTTTCTCCTCTGTAAAATGGGGTTAATAATAATACTATATTCTGTAGAAGGTCATCTAAGAATGAAACAAGGTAATATATATTAAGGGGCTTTGAAACACAGTAAGAACTCAGTAAATGCTAGAGTAATATGACAACCACCATGAAGTCCCAGCCTAAACACAACCTTAATTCAACTGTGGTAAGTCACTTCTCGTAGCTTGGGTTAGACGTTAAGTCAACAATCAATAAAGCAAAAAAGAAAAAATAGCTCGGAGCAAAAGTTAACTTTGAACATCCCTAAGTCACCTATCAGAGTCCAGTACAGTTAACTTGTTTGTAGTCAGTCCTGCAAAATACTTTTTTATCCTAAGTTGGAGAACCTATGAGTGAGACTTAAAAAAGGTATATCTAAATGCAAATGTCAGAGCATCCTACACTTTCTCTTTTTTCCATAACCATGGAATCCCTAGGGAAGACTGAGAGATGCTGGAAAATTCAAAAGTGTTCCTGCTGGCTTGTAGGGTCAACCTTGTTCTGACCTCACATCAGGGTTTTACCGACTTGATGCTGGCTGGGAGACTTGCAGTTTGTTGTGAAGATAGGAGTTAATGGGGTCATGCTTAAGGTGGCTTGAGGGAAGGCTAGCTTTTCAAGTGGGCTCAAGTGAGAAATTAGATGGGGTGCATGCTGCTGCTCCCACATGGCTAGGACAACCCTCTATCAAGCACGCAGGAGGTGCCAGGCTCAGAGCTAAGCATTTCCTACACATTATCCCATTTAACCTCACGACAGTCATGAGGTGGTATCACTAGGTTCTCCGGTTTTTAGTTGAGGATGCTGAGCATCTAAAGTGCCCAGTCTAGGAATATACAGTCCAATTCATGCCAGGGGCCATATTTAATGCAGGTCTCCCTAACCCAGAGCTGAGTTCTGATCCAGCTCCGAGGCAGTGCGGGAGCATGCCTCACCCTCACTGAGAAGAAAACTCCATGTTTTATAGCTTCTCATGTTAGTGTGTGTCCACAAGAACACACACGGATTTACCTGGATACAGTTTTAAATTTCCTGTGCTTGAAGAGAGGAAGGTCAGCCTGGTATCTTCCTTTGTCTTTCCAAAGGCTAAACACACCAATTTGCTTCAACGACTCCTCTGGGCCGTGTTTCTGGACCCCTTTCCATCTTGTTGAACCATCTCTGGTCCAAATGCAGATGCTGGCTGCACAACAGGAGAAATCACCTGAGGAAACTTAAAAAACAAAACAAAAACAAAAACAAAACCTGAGTCAGAGCCCCTCTCCATACGGATGGAACCCAAATCTCCGGAAGGTAGCCTGAGCATTATTGTTTGTAAAAAGCCCTCTCAGGATATTATAATGGACAGCCAGTGTTGAAAAGCACTGCTCCCATTTGCTTAAAAAATAGAGAATTAGTGGGAAAGTGGGCAGGGCGCTCCAGTGTGAGGAAAGAGAATCAGTTCCTTCTAGCTAATGATTATTACACAGAATGATCTGTGGCATATTCCACATGATTTAATAGGCCTTATCTCCAAGGGCAGCTGAATGCAAGTATCTCTCAAGTGTAGAATGGGATGTAAAGGTTCCCAAACAGCCATTTTTAGGGAAGGTGGCAAGACGGACTGACTGCTCCCATCCAATCTGGTCGTGCTTGTTGACTCACCTGAAGTCTCTCAGATCCTGAACACTTAAAATATAATTAAGACCATTCTTCAATTGGATAGTTTAAAAAGTGAAATCAGCTCCATCCCCTTTTCTCTCTGTCCTTTCACTTATTCCGGGTTCCTGTACCGCCAGGTACCTTGCTCTTGGCAGTGAGGTCTCCTGAATGGTCCTGCTCAGCCCTCCACACCTGTGTGCAGGTATTGAGGGACAAAGATGGGGGAGTCCGTTCCTGCTCGTGTTAAGGGGCTGGAGTGGTAGTGCTACTGGGACCATTAAGGTCTAGAGAGATGCCCACGGCTTTGTTCTCCAGCTGCTGCCTCAGCAGAAAGAGAAGTAAAATCCCTAACTTGTAAAGAGAAAAATGATATGGTCCGTGTTCTGCACCTGGCAACTTCGCATACAAAGTCACACATCCACTCTTGACAGGACTGAAGGGAAAGGGGTTTCAAGCATCACAGCAAGGCTTGGGGAGATAGTTTGTCATCTACAAATTATTATTGTTAAAATCATAACTAAATTTCAGAAGAAGAAAATGCACAATTGGAGGTGTTACAACGGGTCCTGGGGTAGATAAGATATCGGTCTGGTTAATCTAATGGGGCAGACAGGAGGCAGGGGATGGCGGGGAGCGGAGAGATGGAGGAAGGCCTGGATAAAAGATGTCTGGACTCAGATTTTGGGAAGGCAGATGGAAGGAAGAGGTGAGCAGATTTTTTTTAGAAACTTCTATTTAGTTATTTTCTCTTTCTTGTTGTTTCTCTCATCTGCCTATTCACTCTTGGATTTTGTGCTCAAGCCACTATCCTCCAAGAACCGCTAGATTAAACGGAACAGCTTGTGAGGGTTTACTGCGTGTCGGATACTAGTCAAAGAGCTCTGCGTATCTTTCACACTTCGTTTTCTTAGCACTGCGAGATTGGGAATGGTACTCCCATTCTGCAGATGGGGTGAAGGGAAGTTGAGGAATTTGCCCCCGGATTTCTCCACTGGAAGGTGAAGAACTCGAGCTCGCAGATACGAGCGCCTGGCATTTAACCACGAAGCTGTCCTCCTGGGACTCCTGCTCCCCTGGCACCGTCCTCGGGATGAACTCCGCGAGTTTCCATGTGGCCAGAGAATTCAGTCTTCCGAAAAGGGTCAGCACAACCTTACGAATGGAGAGCGCCTCCCCTCACCCTCCCCGGGAAGAAGACTAGGGAGGCGACGACTGAGAAAATACTGGAGCGGTGGGGCACATGGGTCCCCACCCCTCGCCCGGAGGAGCCTGGCAGGTTCTAAGTGACAGACGCGCACAGCTAACATCTTACGGGTGCGTTTATGCTTTGCACACCTCTCTCTCCAGAGAGCCTGTTTAATTCTCACCGTGGCTTTGCAAAGGGGGTTATTTTAGTCCCATTTTCCAGACGAGGAAAGTGAGGATTTCCCTCCCCACAGTCACAGAGTCGGCTGGTGGTGGAGCTGTATGTGTCTGCTGTGTCCCAGAGATAATAAAATCTGCACAGATTTCGTCATTATTATGCAAAGCCGCCGGGTAGGCTCGGACCCTCCCCTGACCGAGCCCATCTGTCTCCACGCGCCGCCCCCGGGGCACAGAAGACGACAGCGAGCAAAGCCCAGTGGGTGGAAACGCGTCCATGCCACTTGCCTCGCCATCTCTCTGCGCTTTGCCAGCCTGCGCCCCCAAGGCCAACCTCCCGCGCCTTAAAAAAAAAAAATACGGCCTCCCCAGCAGCCCGCCCGCCGACCCCAGGGAGCTGCATTAATATTAATCCTCATGCATAATTGAAGGCCAGAGATTTATTCGGGCCGCGGCGGGGGAGGGCGCGCAGCTGGGCTGTATTTCGGCCGTGCCATTCGTGTGTTTCGGCCGCTTGGGTTCGCGAGGTCTGGTACCCGGGACGTGGGAGGATGGAGTGGGTGTGCCGCCTGTGAGGATGAGCTTGGGAGTGATGTGAGCCAGAGCGAGTGTGCCAAGGAGGGAGACGGCGACAGAAAGGCATCCCAGGTCTCCGCGCTTTGCCCAGCGCGGGGTGACCTGGGGCCACACGGGTTTGAGGGAAAACAATAGCGACTCCTTAGATCCTGGGCTCCTGCCATGGGCCGCCCGGGCCTTCCCGGGAGACCAGCGGGACCTCTTTTCTTATTTGGCTAATTTATGGCGAGAGGCTGGGGGGAGGGATGGCAGAGGAGGCACGGCGTCTGGAGATGGGGGGCGAGGGGGCGGCAGTTAAAGGAGTCTCCCGAGGCGGCGGCGCTGATGATGTCAGCTCTCGACGAAAATAGAGAGGGATCGCCTGCAAATCCCCAGCTCCGGCGGGGCTAAACCTTGCA